GTATTACGTGACAGCTTTGGTATGAACGGATCAAACCCCAAACTGAGCGATTTTGTAAAATGGTCCTTTCGATTCGATAGTAATAGTTCCGATCACCTTTTACCTGTAGAAAGTTTGGTTAATTGATTTCAAACGAAGAATGATTTAATGACACTTAAAATTACATTTTTTTTTTTGTATCGCCAAATTATTGTAAAACACTAAAACAAAATGCAGTAAAATGCTAAACTTTATGAGCTAAAAATATTTTCTACTGAGCTTCAGTAAAATGTTTAAAGTAAGATTTTGAAAGTAATTAACCTGCTTAGTTTGACAAAATTCAATAGGCAAATGTACTGCGGGGTTGCCGGCTTCGTTAGACTTAATTGATAAGCATAATTTATTATCATGACCACGAGCAAGAAGGTAGTCCCCTGAAATATTAGCGACAATATTACATCCCCATTTCAGATGGAATTTCAAAATACAGTACACTTTCTTTTTCGAATCTAAACAATCAATTATTGCCATCAAACAGCTGGCTTTATTATTAATCACTATTAAAATATCACATATTAATTGCTTAATATAAATATAAAAGTTGCTAGAAAAGATATTCTCTGCATATAAAATGCTCTCAACTGGTAATCTGTTTCTATTCTCGGATGAAATAAGTCTTCACCGCTAAAACTAGCTTGATGTCGTTGATTTGTACGAAAATATTAGGATCTTTTATTATTACGGCATGTTTACTTCCTTTGAGAGAGCAAAATTTGAAATTTAAAAAAGAATTTGATATTTTAGGGCTTTTGAAAATACCCAAAACAAAATTTCATCCACGTGTATAGCGAGCGTACTTGAAAAAATTGAGATGTGAGGATCAAGTTCTGTGGAAATGCAGTTTATCAATAGCATACAGATTACTGTAAATCAGCAATTGACGTGGCTGCCATTAGTAACTAGATATGGTTACTGTACTTCAGTAACTAACTGGATATGGTTACTGTACTTTAGTGAATCGAATTTGTGCATATTTCTGTATTTAAAAATTTGTAAAAATAAGTTTTTCATATGCACAATGCATAGAAGTTTATTGAATATGCATGTATTTGTCTTATACCTAATGTCAGGTAGATTTTCGAAAAAAATATACCAGGGTTCTTCAGAAATTTCTCCTCGATATACCACTGTGGAATGCGACCCAAATAGAAATCTATTTGTTGAACTGAGATTGGTTCAGGTTGTTGCCATTCTTTCCGTGGTTTACCTTTGAGCAAAACCATGTCTGCCGCTGTTGGCCACATATGCTCACACTTATCTTCCACCTGGTAATTTTATTGAAAAAATTAGATCTTTTAAGTTCCCGGATTAATTTCACTGAATCCAAAAGTGTTCTGAAAAATACGATTCGAGAAAAAAGAATCTAAAAGTTAACTCATACATTTGGGTCATCATCAACGATTTCTCGAGAAGCTTTTGATGTGGTTCCCTGACTTCCTTTACGCTGCAATATCGAATTTTGATTTCATTCATTTCATCTATTAATATTATTTTCAGCTCTATAAAAAATACCTTAATTGTATATATCTGAAACTTGAAAGACTTAATCCACCACATTAGGATTTTCGAATAATAGATAAAGGAAATTTACTCCTACTTTGTGTATTTGAAGAAATATTAATAAAAGTAACGAACTCTTAATTTTGTCGATGACATGCTCTTGAAAATAAGATTCTTCCTAACTTGATAACATCGCTAATGTCATATTTTTCCTTGGTAGACACAAATAAAACAGACAAAGTTAGTCCAGAACTAGATAAGCCTGTGGTACCCAAATATTTGAAACGCGAATCCCTTAGCTAAACAAACATCACTTGAACAAGTTCATAATCACTTGACTATATAGAACCCTCTACATTCCAAAGAACCCTTCGAGACCAACCTTACCGAAAGTGAGAAGCGTCAGACTCACAAAATGAAAACCGCAAATGAAAAGTAAGGGCCTACACAGTCATATTATATTGAAAATAGATTATCTTAACCAGCAAATGGTATGCAAATTTCTGTTGCTTTATGCAAATTATTGTCAATTTTCGTTTGCAAATTTTTTTCACTCTCTTTCACATTTATCCAACTTTCACGTAATCTTTTCCGTGCGTTCAAAATCAATAAACGTCATCTTACCCTCTCCACCCACACATTTCAAAGCAAACAGTTCATCACGACTTTATGCATCAGCCAGAAAAGCAATACATTGCAATCTCATTACATTACATATTTACAAGTACATTTATTTATCTAAACTAGTACGACTCACTGTGAAATTGGAAAAGGTACATGAATTAGACTTCCAAAACCTCCCAACAATCTTTTTACAAGCTTAAAAGATATAATTCATACTTTCTTTAGTCATCATCGTCTTGATGTAGTCTGTCCATTTTGTGAGGGAAGAGACGAAAGACAGAATAACACCCAACAATGCATTTTATATAAGTACAAAAATAACTCACATGACACATAAAAATGCATATATTTACATGGGAATGCCAATAATTACGATAACAAGGATCAAAACAATGCAAAACAAATCAGTGCTCATTATATTTTGGCATCGTTTTGTCTTTGTATCAGACACCCGTCTACATACCCGTCTAATGCAAGAAAATACAGTTTTGAATTTTATGTACAAGACTGTAGATCGATAACTGATTGCTGATGAGGAGGGTTCTGTAAAAATTTGAAGCTAAACTTGAAAAAAGCTCTTTTCTAAAATAAATCAGACATCAGTATGACTGATAAACTAAATTTCATTCGTATATATTAAATTAGTAATAACTTCAGTGCATGTCATTTTGGTAAAAGCAACATCCATGACTAAAAAATAGGCTTTTTGTTGTGCGCATCATTAACTACGGCTTACAAATGGTGTAAATTAATATGTAAAAGTACCAGAAGAACGTAGCACGTCTGCGTGTTGATGAATGACTACTTTGTGGAGTCCTTTTGCTCATTTCTTCTTTTTTGCGTAACAAATCACCAAATTCATCAGGTGGCAGAGAAAAATCCCACTTTTCTGTCAAATCTTCTAACGACGATTCATTTTTTTCTACTTCTTTTAAATCATAGAAAGCGTCCAACTTTTCCCAAATCTAAAATGAGATCGACAATGACATGAAAGGAATGAATGAACAAGCCATCAAGACAATACGAATGAAGTTGGAACAGCATATAGGCTTTACTGCATTGCTTATCTTGGATGCATTACTCATAACAGTCTTAATCATATAAACTCGTTGACTGCTATCAAACACTCTGCATTTGATTTTCTTAATCTTTACTTGACAACTACACCTACACAAGAATAACAAAATACACTTCATATAGCAGTAGCAGCGTCCATTATATAAAAAAGTATAAAATATAAGTTATGTAAAAGCATACTAACCATTCTTGCAGTCGGTCTTATAACATATTTTGGCTTAAAAACCCGTGGCTTCCCGCAAATATTTTTTCTAACATTCAGTTCATGCAAATCCACTGGATTTAAAATGTCCTCAAAATCTGTATCTTCATCTTCGTAGATATTGTTCATGTAATCAACAAGGCAAGCCATTTGAAAATGTTTTGCAACACCTGTAAATATATCACTTACAATCAGTATGACAATTTCATGAATGCAGCATTCCATAACTGCAATTATTAAACTTTACTCTGATGTAATAAATATCACTACAATAAAATAAAGAGAGATAGTTTTGAATCAAATTGAAATCGCTTCATGAAAAAAGTACCAATTGGTTTGTGAATCAAAAGTTTTTTCAAAAGACGTATTTCGGAATCAGTGCACCATCCAAATGAAAAAAAGGACTCCTTTAAATCCACTGGTGAACTCTTATTAACATCTGGAAGCGATGAGCTTCTTTCCATTTCCATACCAAGCCAAATCTAGAAAAAATATAAATCCCTATTAACATTTCGAATTTCAAGAATTGATAACGTCAAAATTTGAAGTCGCAAAAAGGACAAAGGTGGAATTAAGGACTTATTTGTCGGACAAAAGTACTATTCAAAATACTAGATCAGATGACGAACTAATTATCATTGTGAAAATGAAAACGAATGTGTCGGATTTAAAATGTACATTTTAGTGACTGCAAAATCAATAGTTGAAGGCATAAGTAATATTAAAAAGCCGAGAAAAAATGAATGCACAATTATTAATATTAAGATGTTTCAGAAAAAAGAAAAAGAAAACTTCAAAGCTCAGTAGATCAAGTCTAACAAATTTGAACTGACGGAAAACATCTTTAGTACACACCTAAAAATTAATTTAAGCAAATGAACTCTCTAATAAATAAAATTGCAGCCAACATAAAAGAAGGTCAATATTAAATAAGAAAATTTGAGATCAACGCAGAAACGAATTTGAAAAAAACTTTAAGATTTATGATATAAGTTGGAAAAAAGATCTTTTACACAGATACTGTACAAGCAAAAAACTGTATACTCCACTACTATACAGAAGCAAATGATAAAAATTATGCAAGCATTAATGACAAGAATGAAACAAAAAATGAATTCCTCAAACGTAAATCTCTCCCGCTATTTTTTCTATCCCAAATGATGAAAGAAAAACAAGCAATAAATGTAGTGAATAGTATAACTCCAAATGATCTCTTCTAAATCGGCCCAAAAAAAGAAGAAATAAAGGCAGATTATCGTCAAAACCATAACTATATTAGAGTAGCTCACATGCTAATCACTCGCACTAATTAAATTACAGTAATCGTTGAATACGCTCAAAAAGTTAAATTTTCACGTTTTGCTACATTATTATGATAACGAAAATAAAAGTATTTACTTGTATTCGCTTAAAGAGTTATAAAATGCAAAAACTTATAATTAAGCAAAATTGTATCAAAGTATACACCAAATATATTAATATTGTACCAAATACCTTAACATTTCACGACAATTTAATAAAATTACAACAAGCCCAAAATGTGGTCAATAATGTTAAAGAAATGCATGAAGTTTCCAAGTTAACTTCTAATGCTCAATTGAAACTTAAATTTTAAGCTACAAACTTAGGTTTTAGGTTATTATTTGTGTCTAACAAGAGGTATCATCTTACGTTATGATACAAAAAGCAATTCAAACTCAATATCCAACAATAGACGTATTGTAGATAACAGGAGAATATTAGTCTCCAAATTATTAAATCTTTTATGTTGAACAAATAATGTGTGTACTCTTTGCTAGGTTTCGTTGCAAGACCTAGAATTCAAAAGGAAATGTTATTAAAATTATATATTTTTCGAAATTTTTTTGAACGAATATAATTTCTGAATTTTCAGTGAACAACTTGCATGTTGTCATTCATTAGATCAATTTTGATTTCATTAATTGACTAATGGCATTTCTTTCACAAATAAGTGTTTTTGTCGATAAATACTATCGGTTGATTACTGTGAATCAGCATTCCATCAGTGCTTTCAATTTTTTTTAAATTATTAATCAATAAACTACATGATAATCACAGCAAAAAAGTAACACATAGCTAGCATTACTGTAGGTAAAAGGAAAAACAATGAGCTGCTAAAGTGTGTTGTGGAAAAATAGAAAATAATATGATGTTCAAGAATTCATATTCGTATTAGATTTTTGACGGAGATTAAATTTTTCACGATAAAGACATTGATAACTCTTATCATACAATAATAATCGCTTTACAATTGCTTATATCTGAAAAATGGCACTGATCGTTTAGTTCGTTCCGTTCTTGATAGTTTAAGTCTTAACATTCTTCAGCAAGCGCTAGTTTAGAATGGTGTTGTTGAGTTTGCTGATGCTTCTCACTCACATTAGTCTTGTTTTTAGCATTTCAGAAAGTAAGTGATTGAATTTTCATATTTGCAAAATATTTGAGAAATCATATATCATTATTAATTAATTATTTGCTTGTAATTAACAAAAATCTCAATCACATCGCTGTCACATATTTCTAAAAATATTTTGTTATAGCTTTAGTGTAGGACAACGCTCAGTAAAAATAATTCATTTGATATGATGTTAGTTTAGTTTTTAGAAACTTAGTCAAATTATTTGATTCGTTTAGCAGAAAGTTTTAATTTCAATTTTTTGCATGATGTAATTTAGATTCAATCAATGGATTAGACTGTACCAGAAAAAATGCTAATGGACTTTACGGACAAGGTTGTTCATCCAGGTTTATGCGGTGCTATAATGGTAAATTGTACATCTATGTTTGTCCAAAAAAATTGAAGTTCAATGTTGAAACAGCAAAATGTGAACAAAAGCGACAAGTAATTGCTTGTATTAATAAGTAAGTTCACGTGTTTTACTCGTAAATTAGAAATTTGGTCTAAGCAGTAAGTCTAATTTAAAATAAACTTGTAAATTGACATTTTTAAAAGATTAATGACTAAATAAGTAGGTGGAATAATTGCAGATTTGTTTGATATACAGTGCAAGCTTTTTCTACTCAATCTTAACTCTTGTAAAATCAGTTTTAAATTTTCTGTTTCAGCGTCGCGAATGACAAAGTAATTGTAAAGGCAGAGTGAGTTTTATTTCGGTATATTCTGTAATTATGTTCAGTTTTATGTTTCAATATTGAACATAACCATTGCACATATGAACTTGGGCGATAAATCAAATCATTTTCAACATATATTCGATGCTTCAAATTTGATTCCTTCACTCAACCAGTACAAAAGAATTTGCATATTATTCCCAACTATGTTTCCATTTTTTATTAACTTGAATATCAAATACAAATTTGAATATTGAATTTTGTAAATGTACATGAATTGAAGTGAGCCGTTTGATTGTTCTAAAAAGAAAGATGGTGTTTATGGTAGTGGCAAATGCTCTACAACTTATTATCATTGTTCTCGAGGTCATTCCTCGGAAATGTTATGTCCAGCTGGTCTGTATTACAACGATAAGTTGAAGAGTTGTGATGAAATTGACAGCATTGATGAATGCGATTTGCTCACGGCATTACGTGGATTTGATGAACGACGAGAAGGTCATCTTGGAGAAAAAGGCAAATTGCTTTTAACTTTTAAATTCAAGCGTCGCACTCTAGCAGTGTTAAATATCTTCCTCACTATAGTTTGCGTCCTGAATTTTTTTCGATCTTCATTCTGTAATGTTCGTATTGTGAATGCTTTCTTCCAGGCGCATATATTGAACGTAATTTGATGTCCATCAGAGGAGGAACGGATCTCGATGACCAAAGAGGATACAGTAAAAATATTCATAGGTTATCACTTGGAAGGGCAAAAAGTAGAGGATCCGGTTCCAAAGGCAGAAATAACATGCCAAAACGACAAAATCGACACTCTGAGTAAATTATTGTTAATACTTTCAAGCTTATTTGTTAGCAAGATAAATTACGATGCGTTATCATCATTATCGACTTTGGAACCGAATTAAACCGGATTAAAACATAATTATGATTTCTCAGAATCCGAAGCAATCACTTCGAAGTCCTTCCATGAAAATTTACATATTCATGGGAAGAGTTCATAGAATTACAAAATACTTTGAGTTATTCAAGAAAAGTGCTGAAATGTTATTTCAAAAACTTCAAAAACTTATTCAAGGAATACACGTTTAAAAAGGCACTCTACTGTTAATTACGTTCAATTTCAGATATCGAGTATCTTGGAAGCCTGGAACAAGTGCGTGACATACAAGATTTAAGGAATTTTTATCTTGCACTAAAAAAATAACTTGCATGCTATCATTAACTAATCTCATTCACTGTACTGCTTCTTGTCTTTGGATCTGAACTACAATTACGAGTAACATGTCTTTTTATGATATGAAAATTCTTGAGGAATCTTCACACGTTATTTGTATGTTCAAAACGTCATATTACGAAAATGACTGAAATTCAAAGCAATTTTTAAATCAGTAAGAATCGTTCAGAATGAATGTTTTGGTTAGATAGTGCAATAAGTATAGAAATGTTATAATCATGATAATTAAAATACAATTATTGAGTTAATCTATAATGGTCTGTCAAGAGTAATAAGTACTAACTGGAAACTTCATGATAAATTATTAAGATATGAGCTGTGCTAATCTAAGTGACGGTGATTATCCAATACTCGAGAATCAGTGTCTCAAACAATTCTGGCGTTGCACTGCGGGTCAAATCACCGGTAGAGCTTGTAAAGATGGAAAGTTTTTTAATGCTGCCACGAAAAGATGTGAGGCAGCTAACAACATCATTCACTGTAAAATTTTCGATGAAAAGTTAGTTGCAGTTGCTGTTTTATTAGGAATATTTAATGTTTAATAATTATGCATGAATCAATCCATAAATTATTACTTGTATTATTGTGATAATTGATAGTTTGGGAGTGAAGTAACAATATGAAGATTTGGCTTCTCATAAAATTTTTATATTGTTACGTTTTATTTATTCCATCACGTGACTGCATACTTGGTGCTATCATCAGCAGTGATTTTTTGCTTGATTTCTATGACATCATTTGAGCTAATTGATGTAACATCTCTTACTTACATTGAAATACTAAGTTTTATCGAACAATTCATGCCAACAGTTAATGGAGAGTTTTTAAGAAGCTGAATGAATATTTGTAACCTTCTTCATCTCTAAATTTATGTTTATTTCCAGAAATGAAACCAAATATTTACCGAAAGTTATAAGTATTCCGAATGTCAAGTGCAATTTCTCATCAGATGAACATACAGAATATAAGGCATGCTCACGTGTACACTACAGCTGTAGCGACGAAAAACTCCACGAACTACAGTAATCCCTTTTGAAGTAGAACTACAGTAATCTCCTTTGAAGTAGAACTACAGTAATTCTCTTGAAATAAATGACTGAAAAATTTCGATTGCTTTTCAACTATTTGCTGTTTTTTAAACGAATACTGTAAGAGAGCTACTTATATAATTGACTGTCTAAACTGTTAACTAGTTACTAAAGCTAGTTATTATTTAATAACTGAAAATATTGCTACGATATTTATATAAATAATGATAAACAACAGTACATGAATACTGAGTGTGAATATGAAAATAAATAATGGGCTCTAAGTAACTCTCTTACAGTAATATTATTTATTGTAAATAATAACTATTTGAAGTTAGTGGCATGAATTTTATGATATGAATTACAGATAGCATATTATTATAACTAAATACTTTTGTTATAGTTCATATAAATATTATCCTTCTATGCATAATATTTGAAAGTGTCCTTATTACTACTAATATTAGTACACACAATTACAGTTTAGAGAGTCAATTTTATATAAGTCAAGTCATTTGTTTATATTTATCAAGATATTTATACAACTCTAATTAAAATTTGTGGATTCACATCTGATCATTATTATTACTGTTATTTCTGTAATAATTATCTTGTTTTAATCACTCATTTTACTATGTTGCTATAATTATTTTTCTCAGCATCCTTTTGGAAGTATAGCTGTTATTACGCATTTTTCAAGTACTTTTATGCTCGAAATTAAAATTTACAAAATTATAGGAATTTGATTCCGTTGAAAAGAGGCGAATTCGGAAAAGTATCAACGTTGAAATTAATTTTAGTCTTATCTTATGTTGAATTGAGATTCAGATGCTACAAATCTGAGCGTGCATCTAAAAGATGCTGGAAGATTACAATTTCTGATTGCTATAAGTTCCAGCAATAATAAAAGTGATTTCAGATGCCAAAAAAGCCAAGTATATGATTCAGCACGAGGCAGATGTAGCACGCCAGAATTTGTCCCAAATTGTGCCAGCAAACGATATGCAACATTTTCAACAAATGAAAATGAAATTGAAATACTGAAAATCATATGGGAACCCGAACTGAGTAAGCTTGCCTTCTGCTACCTTGCTTCACTCTTCAAATTACAGCTAATTACAGAAGTTCGGTTTGACTTTATTTTTCCATGATTGTGCATAGTCCTGTGGATTAAGTTTATACTTCATTACAATGTTTATTACTACCTCACAGTGCATTCAAATTATTGTACTCAGTTTAATTAATGACTGTAAAATTTTTTTGAAACTTTCAGGACTTTTATATTTTCACAACACTTACCTCTTCATTATGATTGAAATTTGCGATACGGTTCAATTTAAGTGTTAAATAATATGTCCTGATTGAAGTCACGTATATTTTTAAGATGACTTCTGCAGTCAAAATGGAGATGGCATGTTCTCCGCAGGTTGTGAGGAATTTTTTTACCTCTGTACTTCTGGAACTGGATATTATGTGAACTGTTTGAGAGGATTATACTTCGACAGTGCAAAACAAATGTGTACTGTCAAAGATCGAGTTTTATTATGCAAATTACTTTCAGATAAGAAGTAAATACTGTTTGAAATTTGTAAAAAAAACTACTCGCTATTTTTCTTTGTATCGAGATTTAAAACTATTTCACGCTTACCACATCAATTTTTCACTGCAGTGTGTACTGTTAATTTTATGAGTAGAATTAATAACAAAGCTAATAGACCTTCAGTGAGAGCTTAATTCTGATTTCATAAATGACAATAAAAGAATATTGGAGTTAATTCGTTTCTTTCTCAAATTATGCTTCAACTCTTTTAACATTTTGCTACCTAAACGTAACCTTATTTCAGAAATTCAACTGACCTTGAGTTTATTTCGAGTAAGCAGACAGTTGCTGCAGAAGACAAGGACAATAATGATATCTTCAAGGTTTGATCAGTATTTGTTTTCCGATTTTATTCTGACACTGAGGCAGAATATGACAAAATTTGAGTTAAATTTGTTTAAAGATACATGACAACGTGGTTAACAAAGAAAGCACTGGAAATTTTGCTACTGATATACCTGAAGTTGGTATATCAGCAATGATTGCAGCACCCATCCCAAAAGATGAAAACCTTCCATTTTTACCTGAAGGTTACATTTTTCATATTAAAACCTTTGGCGGTTAAAACGTTTTTAAATTTCGAGAGTGAAAAATTCATCAAAACTGTTCAATGCATAAAACTTTGGCATAATTTAAAAAACGATTAATGTCTGATCCGAAAATTTTAAAATATTTAATTTAGATTTCGAATGTGAACGCAAAAACGATGGCTTCTACTCGATTGGATGTGAAAATGAATTCGTTGCATGTGTGAACAGCCGAATGTTTTTCTTCAAATGCCCACAGGATTTGATATTCGACGAAGAAAGCCAAACTTGTAATTATGTTGGGAATATCAACAAATGTTTGCATAATTCTATTACAGCGATAGATAAAGAGTTAGTGTAAATATTAGTAATTAGTAATTAGCTTGTCAACGTGAAATATTGACAAAAACTCTTACCCAAGCAAATTTTCTACTCAATTCTTCTCTAAATAATAGTTAAACATATGACAAAGTCAAAAAATCTTAATCCTACCAATTTTGATTTCGAATACTTAATAAATATTCAACGAAAAAATATTCATATTATGTTAATTTTGTCGGTGGACTATTTATAACTGTATTAACTGATTGTGCACGGTTTCTTTTTTGGATTATACATTATGTAGGAACAGAGTCAGTACACATAGTAGAATGAATAAAAGCATATGTAAAATGCAAATAACCAATAAAACAAATTTTAAGATCCACATATGAGACTACTAGTAATTCATTAGTAAAACCACGAAGAATTCATCCTCGAAGAAAATTTGAGCAAAGTTTCGGAAAATTAATTCGGAATCCAGGTGAAGTTTAGCTTTCGTATAAGTTTGTCATAGTTTTCACGTCATCTCTGATCAAAAAAACTTACCTTCCTTATTTTGATCAGCTTACTTCATTGCACCATTTTAATAATTTATGTGGTGTTATGATACCAGCAATTCCATACAAGCAATATACTAAGCAAATAATTTGCAGACTTCTGCAAAGATTCCAAAGATGGAGTGCACTTCGCTGGCTGCAGTAAAGAATATGTAATATGCAGCCATCAAATTGCATTTTTCTACATTTGTCCGGAAGGTACAAATATATCCTATCACATTATAAGCGCACCGATTACTTAAATACATTAAATATTTTGAGCATGTAGCAGAGTACAACCAAAAAGTTTATTGTAGAAGAGGAATGACTGATAAGTCAAACTAACCAAATTATTAGCTCAATTAATATTATTAATATATTTGATAGAAATCATCCATAAAGTATAGAGTATATCATATTTCTGTTTCATAAATTATTCCATAATATATAAATGAAAACCAATTTTGATAAATATCAATCAAAAATTTAAGTTGTAGTAGTAATTTCAGGACAATATATGGATCCAGAAAGCAAGACTTGTAGCACTGCAGATAAGATACCTGATTGTCAAAATAAATAATGAATTTGAGAAATGCATTCGATGAAAATTGATTCCCTTGATGAATGCAAATTCGATCATTCTCTTATAAACTTTAATAAATTCACTTATTTTGCAACAAATAAGTTTATACAATCCAAATGAATAGCGCGGATCTATCTCTACTGTGAAAGTCAAAGTTCACAAAGTACGGAATAATGAATCAAACAGACAACTTTAATTAAAAGTGTAAATTTGTAAGCTGAGTTTTACCAATATTTTTAACATTCATCTCACGATTTGCAGATCACTGAATGTGAGTTTTAATCACGCATATATAAATTATAACACAATTTGTGAAACAACTGACATTATATATCATTTGTTTAACAGTGCGAAATTCACAATTAAAGCGAGATAAAAAAACAACAGTTGGAGTTAATTACGATATTATAGTACATAGTATAAAGAAACTGCTCGTAAATTACAAAACATCACGCTGAAAGTTGCAAATAAAGGTGGCATACATGGAACTGCATGGTGAGATGTCATTTGTTGCATTCAAATTTCCAATGACCTTTGATAGTCCGTTATAAACTGAAGCGCGGAATTTTGTGTATTGGTGATTAAAGTGGTGTTGTAGAAATTATTATAAATTATTGAGAAGTTCGTTTGATGAGTTCCGAACAGTGTATAATGACAGGTTTCTATAAATGTCCAAATAAAGTTTAGAAGGAAAAAATTACTCTCTTAACAGTACAGAGTGCAATTGTATTTCATTCGAGAAGTGTTCAAATGAAGGAGAAAGTGGAATCAGAAATTGTTACCACAGCGTACTCTTCACTTCCGCATATTATTTGTTCCATACGCTAGTTAAGGTTAAAATATACCATTACATTTCTGTATCCACTTAATTTTTATTTTCGTAATTTTTATTAATTTATTGTTAGAAGGAATCTATCATTTCTGTATATTATTGGTACTAATATTAATGTTGTTGTCAGTATCAGCATAAATCTTATTACTAATAATGATATTATTATCACTGTCATTGCTGTTGTAATTTTTTGCATTATAGTTGTTGTCCTTACTGTTATCATCGTTATTACTATTGTTATCGTTACTGCTGTTATTTTTATTATGTTATTAACAATAAATATTTTTCAATTTGATTTCATTGTGTTTCATCTTGTATTTTGTGCTTTTTATTTTACCAAGAATTTGATTGTCAATTCAATTATCGTTTCGCTAATACAGCTGTTAAAAAACGTTGCTTATGGTATTCTATGATTACAGGTTGGCTTTGCAATGATGCGTTTGTTGCAGTTCCGGATACCAAATGGATATGTGACATTTCGGCGGACAACGGTAGTAGTCGGTTTTGGTTTGGGTGTTGGAGTTGCAGTGGTTAGCTACTTTATCGTGAAAAGGTAATTATTATCTTAAATCTGACATATTTGTTCCTGAGCTTTTCAAAAAATTAATATTGAATTATCTACTGCTAATTTTTTCGTCTGTAGAATTTTTGTAAGAGTGTAATTTTCAACAAATATTTATACAAATTATTTTGTATCCTGTTCCTTGATTCAAAAATTTCTCATTGCGTGGTCAAAAATTTGATATGAAACATTTTAGTAGAAAATTTGCATGTTTATTTTCTGCTTTAAAGCAGCTAAATCCTTTTAGATCGGAAGCTTTATCTGCTTATATGCAGATTAAGTTCATTTAATAAATTTTGCTTTCAGATTATGGAAAAATCGGCAAAGAAAAGAATCTGAAGAATATGACGATGCTTTCGAAAAAGTACCGTGTGGGCTTGAATTTCCTCGAAACGAAAATTTTGCGATGAGTATGTTTCTTTGATATCATGTTTTTCATTGTTAAAAATAATTGTGCATTACATTTTTATGAAAGTGTTGAAGCGATTAAATGATTGTTTAAGTATTTTTCACGTTTTATCAATGTATATTTTACAGCACGAGATAACAGGTCACATTATACACCTTCAGTCTCATCATATCGAAGCTCCTTAAGAAATGCACCAGCTAGTGAATCAGACTTAATATTCAGTTCGTGGTTTGATTAAGAAACATATTGACTCTCTGTTAATTCGTATGATGTGTTTCTAGAAAAAAGGACACCACTTTATATTACAACCAAATTCTAGGTTTACAGTTGGTCCAAGAAGTGATACAACGAATGGAAAAAGCTGTTAGTAGTTTAGATATGGTAAAAAATCGTTCAGATAAGGATTTAAAGCGATTTGACTTGCTTTCTTCAGTATTAGATAGGTTACTTTTTTTACAAAATTTGAAATATTTATTCTTTTGTCATATGCTGGTTTTGAGTTTCATCACAGAAAACGTGCTCATAATTTGTTTGTAAATACATTGTATTGAACTTCTCTTGGAAAGTAAAAGGAGGATCAATTTGTATGCAGTCGTTTCGTTGGTAATTCTTAATCAAATTATTTGATATCCCTAAACTATTTCTGAATATTTTTATTTGGTTCATTACTTAATTTTTCTTCACATAGCAACAATAGTTTTCATTTCTACTTTAATGGCGTTTCGGTCTTTCAACTTTCGATTTTTTTGATCAATTTTGTCGCAGATTACGTGTTCTTGAGACAGATGTTCTGAGGATAGTGCGAGAAGGTGGCTATAAAAAAGAAATTTCAACTAACGAGGATACGTGTAAGTTTAAAAGTTTTTTTTTGTATATGCTTTTTACCACTTGTGTTATTATAGTTATTCTATCACAAACTCATCAGAATGCTTTGTATAAGTACATACTAAATTAATTTAATGACAGTAATCTTAATCATTCTTGAATATTTGAAATTCAGTTTGGAGCACAAGTGGATCACAGCATACTGCCACTTTATCTGTTCTCTCCGACGACTCGTTTTTATCAGCTCTCGAAGAGTTTGTAAGTTTTCGTTTATTAATGGGAAAAATAGTTTTTATTGAGAAAGTTCATAGATTTCATATCTGTTTTTAGCCTGTAAACATTGATGATACTGACGTCCTGATGCGTGAACCTTTGAGTTTGAGTAAAGATTCATTACATTTTTATCAAGAAGGTCTAAATGCTGCTAAAACTGGGGATGTCAGTTGTAGGAAAATTAGGTTTGTGAAATTTTTACTCTCTTTTGCAAAATTCTATACTTATAGAAATTATCTTCTTATACAAACTATTTTAGATAAAAAAATTTTTGAAACAAAATTACATGAGAGAGTCTGCTTAATTAAATTCAAAATATCAAATTGTTTTCAGAGTTGAATTTTGTTGCTGTGAAGACGAAATTGATTTTAAAGCCAAAGTTTGGTGCATAAGGCAGGCATTTAATGTCAGTTTCTTTTTCCTTCAATCATGACAAATTTATTACCTAAAGCATAACTAAGAACTCAGTCTTATTTCACCAGTTGTTAGAAAATTTTTAATCAAAAAACATAAAATATGGAATAGTATGAACTGGGGCATATTGCATCCAGTGTTGAATTTGTATCTCGCAGATAATATTATCAAATGAACACAATCGAGTTTGGTTGGCGCAAGCAGGGCGTCAGTTGATTGCTGATCTATTACGACATACTCCGAAAGATCCCAGTAGTTTTTATTTAGCTTATGATGCCATGATCGCATACTTAAGTGAAAATCACCATTCGGAAACCATTGATATGGAGCTAAAGCAGAGAGGTGTAAGTCTATATATTTTTTTGTACTGAAGTGTATTTGGTTAATTTTCTGTGTTTGGTGTGTCTTCAGAAATTCAGCGTGTCAAGTACTTTAAAACTCTGAAATTTTCTGATTCAAAATCATCTGTTTCAGGTGCGTGAAGTAGGATTTTGGGACGTTGTCCTAGACTACATTTTAATTGATGCTTTTGAGGATTTATCGCGAGCTCCGGGCGCTATTTTAGCTGTCACAAAGAACATGTTTTTAAGTCAGTCGATGAAAGAATCTGCAGTGGTAACCATGATTTGGTCGGTGCTGGAAGGAAAACGTGCAAGACTTACGGTATATCTCAAAATTCTTTGATAAGTTCTTTAAATAATTCACATTTTGAAATATATCCGCAGTCATTTTTCGTAAAAATTATGACAGGTATCTGATGGATTTATCTCGCACTTTTACGATATTTCGGAAGCAGCTTCTCCTACTATTGTTCTAGGTTTTTTGGGAACTGATGAGCACTTACGTGATTTGTGCCATTATTTCAAAGTTGGTTCATTTTTTCCATCTTATTTAGAAATTAGCATTTTATAAAGTTTCAATAATTTGATGCTTGTGGAAAATTAAGCAGTAAAATGCTTTGCTCACTTCTTTCTGGTAAAGAAAAGTTTTTCAGGAACAAATATGCTCCTTCATAGTTGATATATTTAATTTGAGAAAGGTGCGTTATACTTGTTTGAAAGATCTGGCTGAGGATATTCGACTTATTCTAGAAACACGCCTTGAAATGATTCAAACGAGATTAAGCACCGAATTAATACCTCCATGATTACATTCATTTCTATCAGATTTGAGAAAGAGTTTAATTCTGCTTCTTATTGTTACGCTTTGCTCACATTTATTCACATATTTTAATGTGAGTCAGTTTTCTTTGGTCGAAATGACCAATGTGCTCCTTTATAGTATATTTGATATGAGCAAAGGGTTTCATGCAACTTATAAATATTGATATGTTGAGAAACTTTAAGTGCTTATGTAGCGTTCAAGTTCATTTCAGATACTCAAATTTCTTTTTGCGTATATTCGTGCGTGATCTCTTGATCATTATATTGTAACATTTATCGTACTTTTTGTTGACTTTGATTTCTATCATCTAATCTTTGTAAATATTGATAATGGTTCGTCGATTAAAAGACTGTCAACGACTTTTCCAACTTTTAAATACTTGTTTGTTAGTAACAGCATATTTCCTTTATTATATTAGCAAATTCGATGCTCTCGTAAAAGTGAATTCGATTTTTGATAGATACTTTTAATTTTTAAAAATTATTTTCGTAATTTTTGTAGGTGAAATGTTATCAAAAGAAGGAATAGACGAAGTACTAAAGAAGTGTGCAGATATAGATGAAGTTATTTACAAAAATATTAATTTGATACCAATTAATAACTGGAAGTTTGATGAAGAAATCATTGAGCAGCTTCGGGATCAGAAACACAATTTTGTCAACAAGCATTTAACAAGAAGTAGGTCCTTCAGTTTGTTTAATAATTGAATATACAGTTTGATTAACTTAAATTTGTTTTCTTATTTCATTACAAACTATTGAAAAGGTAAAATTTATATGTTACTGTCTGTGACTGATAGAAGGTAGACGTTTAAAATTATCCCCATATGTGATTCAAGAGCAACAAAAGAAACTAAGTAATGCTTCAAAACAACGTCTGGCTCGTGAAATAGGTGCTGGATGTCAAACGGTTACGGATGTTTTAGAATGGATGGCCAAAAATTGCAGCAATATAAGGCCCATCAAGGTTAGTTGTTTTATTTTTAGTATTTTGGATTTTAAGATGAAGTTTTTAAAAATACGAGTATTCATAATTTAATTTTGGATAATCGTTGTTTCAGCCTGAAAAAAAGGTCACTGATTCCAAGGACACCAAAGCTATCAACTTCCAGAATGGTGGAACAAGTATTTCAAACACAGATTGTATGGATACATGTGTTGAAGTAGTAAGTAAAAGGTAATTCTTTAAATATTTTATTGCACTTTGTAAATCAAAAATGGCCCTTAAATTCTCAAAGATATAATAAAATAAATAAATGTAGTACAGTTCTTTTTTATATCATAAGAGTGAAAAGATTCTAAATTGTAACAAAAGTAGAGATATCTGTGTCTTATGTATTGGTTTTGAATTTTAGTGCAAAGAAACGAAAAAAAAATCATAGTTGTACTTCGTTTGATGGAAAAAATAGCGAATCTGTCACTGCAACTTCTGTTGTGCCAGTTGATGCTGTAGAAGGTCGCAAGTTAGCTCTTAAAAAGCTCCAAGAAAAATTGAAAAAATTCAAAGGCAAGTTAAGTCGGACGATTGGTCTCATTTACAGGGTAATGAATACTGAGTCAAAACTCTTTGTATATATGACTAAGATTTAGAGACTATGGTGTTGTAAATTCATCATTTTTGAAATAGTACGGAAAGTTAATTCATCATTTTTGAAATAGTACGGAATTTATTTCACTGAAGATATTTTATTTTCTTCAGTGAAATAAATTCCGTACTGTTAAATTTGCAAAAATGATGAATTAACTTTGAGTATATTTTCAACTTCAGTCAGTTTGAGCAATATTTTTGTAGCTCAGAGGATTGGAAAAATGACAGCATTTGAATATGAAGAAAAAAGAAAATTAAAGCGCCGCATGAGTAAACTTAAGATGAAACAAAGGAGGACAGCAGCTAAGCAGGAAGCCAACAGTCATAAGTTTGCTTTATTGTATTGGGTGGTTGGAGAGCTTTTAGAATGTTGAAAATGAGGGAATATTATTGGAAACTCATCTATTTATTTTTATTAATTTTTGCTCAAATACTTTGTGCTCATTTACATAAGTATGGCAGTAGCATAATTTTTTCATATTTATTAGAGTTATCATCATAATTTTAGGTTATCACAAGATGAACCACAACCAAGTAAGAGAGCAAAAATCGAAAATAGATTCGAAATAACCGAGAAAAACAATGAAAAAATGATTTTTTCTAAATTCGATTTCATCGTAAGAGATGCAAAAAAAGTAATTTAATTAGATTTTAAGCGCCTGCATCATAGTTTGGACATCAAAGTTGACTTTTTCAGACCGAAACAAAAAGGGATAAAAGAGATAAGTTTGCTGGTAAAGATTACAAAAGGCTTTTGGAGAAGGCTGAAAAACGAGAAGAAAGGCTGGAACAAATGCGTTTGAAAAATCCCGAAAAAGCATCAAAAGTAGAAAAAAACATCCAATGGAAAAAAGCATTGAATCGTGCTGAAGGTCAGAAAGTAAAGGTAGAACATTGAAGATTTGTATTTGCTTGTTCAAAATGTAATTTTTATCATTTCAAAGAATTCATACAAAAACTGTCTTATTTTTAAATGTGTTTAAGGACAATCCTGAACTTCTAAAACACAGTTTGAAAAAGAAAGAAATGATAAAACAGTGGAGGAAAAAAAAATGGGCAAAACGAATTGAACACATGGAGCAAGTTCAATCTCGGAAACAAGAGAAACGATCAACAAATATTCAGGCTCGTAAAGATATAGTGAGAAAACGAAAATTACAAAAAGCTCGAAATAAAGGAAGAATATTGTAATGGTTGTTTTGTAGTAATCGAAATCTTATATTGTACTCAGTTTACGATTTTCATTAATTTAAGAGACTATGTTTAACTATTTGAAACTTGAAAAAAAAGTCAATTACTATTGTGGTAATCATTAAAATTGTTGTACTGTTATGTCCTCTGTGGTTCTGGTTCTATCGATGAAAGATATTTTATTTTCTTCAGTGAAATAAATTCCGTACTGTTAAATTT